AGAGCGACTCAGCTGCATTTGACCTTGACTGAGACTGAGACTGGGACTGAGAGACTACTGCTGATTCATCTTCCAAAAGTGGTGAAAAGCGGTTTCTTGTAATTAAAGATTTTTGCTGTGGCATTATGACACTCTTGTTATCATTAGCTTTGCCTTGTTTGGGCTTGGCACCATATGTGTTCCAACAATTGTCTCTGTTGATTTTGGGAAATGAAATAGCGTCATCATAACTTACGTTTTGTCCATGTGGTCCATTTCCTTTCACTGGTATTGTTGTGTTCAGCCCCAATTCTGATTCAAGCACAAACATTCGGTCTTGAAGAAGTTTTAGCTCCTGTTTGAGTGAAAAACAGCCGTCGCAAAGTTTTGTTCTATTTTCCCGTCCTCCCGACATGCTGTAAGTTAGGTAAAATTCCACCAGTCTTGTGTTGAAGTTTGTAAAAAGGAGTAATCCGTGTTTTGTGGAATAAAAATGTAAGCAAAAATGATTAAAGGAGATAAAAAAGCAGAAAGCGAGGAGCAGCAAGAGAATGCGACTGCTCTGTCCAGAGCAGGAAGTCTTTTTAATTAATAATAATAGAGCCAATCTTAAATATATTTAATTAATTAATTTCAAACCTTCCTTTTATATGTAAAATCCTTGATAAGCTTTTTGCCAAACAACTATGCAGCCACATACAAAAAATTATATATTTAAAATCATCATAGCACTGAAACAGGACTAGTCAAAGTCATAAATGATTTACTACTAGCTGCTGATAATGGATTAGTGTAAATGTTGGTTCTGCTGGACCTCAGCGCTGCATACGACACAATAAACCGCAACATTCTACTGCAGAGACTGGAATGAGACATAGGTCTGAGAGAAGCAGCACTTGGCTGGTTTAAATCCTACTTTTTGGATCGGTATCCGTTTGTTAATGTGAAACAAAACTCCTCGCCCTTTCACTCTTTTCCTCTGGGATAAATTTATCCTGTTTATCCAATCCTATTCTAAAGTAAAATTTGGTGTTCCACAAGGATCGGTATTAAGACCGATTCTCTTAACGCTCTACATGCTGCGATTAGGCAACATCATTAAAAAGGATTGAAGAAGATGACAAAGTCTGGGATTGCGTCTTTAATTCAGACAGAAGACATGTTTTATTGTCAATGGTAGAGACAACATGAACAAAGCACACGAACAAAGGATGTAACAAACTGTTAGTGATAATATAGCATGGGAGAATGAAGTCCTCCAATCAGCAGCTGCCACGGTGTGCTTGTAGCTTGGCCTTCAGATAGACAAAACATCAAATGGAAAAGTACAGGCTTCTGCACATTGATAGAATGATGAGTTTAACTTTAACTAAAGTTGCTTTAAGTGTTATGAAATCTCACAGGATTAACTTCCACTGCTATGCAGATGACACAAAGCTTCACCTGTCTTTGAAAACAAATCAGACAGATCAGTTAGAAAGGCTGATCTGTCTGCATAAAAGACCTAAAAATGAAAAAACCTCAACCCAGTAACGCGTTATACTGACAAAACTACTTTTTTCCAGGGAAAGGAAAGTAACGCAACTTGTCATTTACCACGCATCGGCTGGTGCTTGCGCATCAGTCACGATTCGCTGGCAAAAAGTTATCATTCCATATTGTACAGTGCCTTGCGAAAGTAATCGGCCCCCTTCAACCTTTCAACATTTCGCCACATTTCAGGCTTCAAACATAAAGATATAAAATTTAAATTTTTTGTCATGAATCAACAACAAGTGGGACACAATCGTGAAGTGGAACAAAATTTATTGGATAATTTAAACTTTTTTAACAAATAAAAAACTGAAAAGTGGGGTGTGCAATATTATTCGGCCCCTTTACTTTCAGTGCAGCAAACTCACTCCAGAAGTTCAGTGAGGATCTTTGAATGATCTAATGTTGTCCTAAATGACTGATGATGATAAATAGAATGCACCTGTGTGTAATCAAGTCTCCGTATAAATGCACCTGCTCTTTGATAGTCTCAGGGTTGTTTAAAGCGCAGAGAGAACCATGAAGACAAAGGAACACACCAGGCAGGTCCGAGATACTGTTGTGGAGAAGTTTAAAGCCGGATTTGGATACAAAAAGATTTACCAAGCTTTAAACATCTCAAGGAGCACTGTGCAAGGAATTATATTGAAATGCAAGGAGAATCAGACCACTGCAAATCTACCAAGACCCGGCCGTCCCTCCAAACTTTCATCTCAAACAAGGAGAAGACTGATTAGAGATGCAGCCAAGAGGCCCATGATCACTCTGGATGAACTGCAGATCGCAAGGCACTGTATGTGAAGCAAGATGCTGCTAGCGATGGCTGCTCACTTTACCCGCAGAGTGTCAGGTAAAGTGCGACACTCCACGGGTAAAGTGCGACACAGTAGCGCCAGTGAGGCTGATTTTTTTTCTTTTGATGAGGAGGAAGACGCAACGTCCTTTAGCGCAGTTGCGGAGGTACTTGAGTAAATGAGATCAGGCTCAGAGTGAGAGGTCCTAAAGTGATTCCCACCGAGTGAGAGCTGTGTTCATGAAATACAACAACCCAATGTGAACATGGATTTTTTGAGAGCATGAAAGAAATATCTATTATAAAAGTTGATAACAGTAACGCAAAAGTAAAGTAAATAAGTTACTTTCTTTAGAGAGTAACTAAGTAAAGTAAAAGGTTACTTTTAAAAAGTAACTTTTCTCCTTACCCGTTACTTATTTTTTTTAAAGTAACTTCCCAACACTGAACAAAAGTAATCTCACAGCATATTTCCACATACTGTAGGTATAATCAGGAATATATCCTTCCTAAAAGTGATTCAGAAAAACTAATCCACACATTTGTCACCTCAAGGCTTGACTACTGTAAAGCCCTAAATCAGTGTGGCAGCTTCCCTAAATCTTCTATAAAAAGATTCCAGCTTGTCTAAAATACAGCAGCAAGGATCTCAACAGGCACCTGTGGAGTACAGAATCAAATTTAAAATCCTTATTTTAACATACAAGGCCATTAATGGTATGGCATTCTCTTATCTCTGAGTCATCTTAAGCCTGGTTTACACGAGACAATTTCAAAATTGTCGGTCGATTTTTTTCTCTGTGTGAGACCTCACACACGGGGATAAAAAATCATGAGTCCAACCACTTTGGTCGTACAGTGTGTGGTGCGCGGCCACACGGCAAAATCACGCAAACCACACACATCACACACGAACCGATTTCCCCCCCGAGCATTCCCAGATCAGACGGAAATCTCACAAAATCTTGCGAGATCAAGCGTGACTTCAGAGTAAACAATCATGGCGGACAAAGAGGTTGCAGTGGCGATATTTAGCTTTTATCTGAGAAAAGACGTAATTAAAAGAAAAGGCGATGGTCAAAGAAGTGGAGACAACGCGAGCATGGACTATACTTGCTACATCGTGATATGGAGGTGAGTTGTTTTTTTACGGCGTTTCCTCACCGCTTCGTCTCGTCTTCTGATTGGCTACACGCCGCAGTCATGCCAACGCGCTCGTCTGTCCTCGGGGGACACCACACACGAAGAGAAATCGGGCCAAAACAATCCAACATGTTGGATATCCCCGATATTGAGATCGGAGCAGTCCCGAAGTCCTTCCGAGCGACGAGCACAGTCTTAAGACACCACACACGGCAGGAAAATCCATCAGATTTTTGTTACGATATTCGGAGCGTTCTTACGATTGTCGTAGGGGTAAATCGAGTCCAAAATCGGCCTAATTATCCTGCCGTGTGAACCAGGCTTTAGTGTCATACCAACCAAACCGAGAACAGTGCTCGCAAAACGTCAAACGTCTGGTGGTTCCTAAAGTGTAGAGGATAGTAAGTGTCAGAGGACTGCTACACAGCAGCAAAAGTCAATTGCTGCTGACCAAACAGTGTACAAGCCCACGCATGTTTCCTCTGTATTTTGACTGAAGGCTAAAATGCATGTGGGTCTCTGCGGCAGGCTATGCACACCACTGCATACGTCTTTCTGCTTCAAAAGTCACATGCGTCTGTGTCTGGAACATAATGTACAGCATGCGTTGGAGATAACAGCAGTCACGCTCACTGGAGATTACTGGACGTCCATCAGTAATTATTGCCAGGTCACAGGCCAAACATTTAAACTAAAGTTGTGACTGCGCTTGATAGTCCACCCAGTGGCTACTTCACCTAGTGACCTGTCCTGCTCTACCAAGACGCTACGTCATCTCTGCTGCTGTGAACTGTCCTGCTCCACCCAGAGTCTACTCCATCTCTGCTGCTGTGATCTGAATGGCTGTTGCTTGACTGTTTGTTGCACTAGCTCACTTTTTCGAATGTGAGAGCTGGCCTCGCTCTTTCTGCTCCCCCTCCCCGCACTCACGACGCTATCGCCCCCCACTACCCCCCTCCCACTCAGCCTGTGCTCATCTGCTAATTGTATACTGAACGTGGATGGCGTGGCCATAGAATGATAGAACCGGGAAGCGCGGAGGAACGAGACTTTCTTTTGGATGGCCGTTTCGCTGTGTAAGCAGTAACCGGTAACGAAGACACAGGAAGTTTCAGGTTAGCTTCCGCCGCTTGTTTACCTCAGTTGTCTGCGTGCTTACGAGAAACCTGTAGCTTTTCTCAAGAAAGTGGGAGCCAGTGGTCCGCTGTGATTGGTCACAATCTGGTGCCAAAACAAATTCTCTTCCTTGTTGCACAAAAACTCAATCTAAAATAAAATGACCAGCGCTACTTATTCTTCAAAAGGACGTATATCCCAATGCATTGCATGGATATGGATTGAATTTTTGTAATGAATAAAAAAATAAAGTGACGTAATGCAGCTTTAAATAGATAATTCAAGTCATTTCTACTATGTTAAACAGTTGTAGACGCTTTAAAAAGAAAATAATCACGGACCTCATAACACATGTAATAGTGTTGAGGTCTGTGAAGGGCTGTGTAGGACAGCCGATCATCACATGCAGCACCTTTAAGGCGTGTGTGCTGCATACCGTCTGTGCATCAGCGAAGCTCGGGGCCAGTTTGGGCTGAAGGATCTTCTCTTGTGTTCCCTCCACAAGCTGATGGCTGCTGTTACTGCCCCACACATACACCTCACAGCTTTCTGACACCAGAGGAGCCTCTCCGGTCTGAATGCTGTCCGGACTAACACAGGTGCGAGAGTAGTCTGAGGCCATGCGGCCCACCTGCACACACCACACATCAAAAACTACCACCTGTCACAGCTCTAATGAAGCTGTTTAATCTCACTTTCATGAGACAAATTAGTGAATTACCTCTTCAAAAAGACAGAGGGCAGCCTCATACAAGGAGCAGAGGCCGTCTGCTGATCTGGTGGGTTCTCTCCACTGACTGCGGTCTGCAGAAGAGCCCTGGGACACACATCATTAACAAACATACTGTAGGATGAACTGTGTACAGTGTTCGGGACTCACCAGTGAGCGTCTCATTTGCATGAGGATGTTCATAAAGCAGTCGTAGCTGATTAGACCTTCGGGACTTAGACCCTGCTCCATCATGCTAACCACAGCTGAGGCGGCCAGAGCCATCTCGATCCATTCCAGGAGGTACCTGAGGGAGCCCCTCTGAGAGGCCAGCCCCAGCAGCAGCTCCGAGGCCAGCCGCCGGCCCAGAAGGTCCGCCCCAGAGTTTGGCATAGTTACCCCCTTGAGGAAGAATGTGACCTGGGCCAGGCAGTCCAGGCCCATGGGCGGGATCTTGCTCTCGTTGGCTAAAGACAGAGGAGGTAAGGAGCTGACTACATCAATGGCTGTGTGGATTACATCGTTGCAGAGGTTGATGGTTCCTCCAGGGGCCACGGGGCCAGGGGGGGGCATCATCCAGCTCTGTCGGAGCAGAGCGAAAAGCAGGCTGAGTCCGGTGCGCACTCCCATCTCTATGAGTGCATCAGTGCTGGAGCGCGGCCTCTCGCTGACCGCCTGCAGGTCAGTGGAGCCGCTGCTGTTCTCTGGAGAGTGTTGCAGCTGCTTCACTTTGCCCTTGTCGTGGTATTTATTGGAGAGGGCATAGAATATCCGCTGGAGCACCAGAACACGCTTACGAAGAGCTGCAGCAAAAGGAGAGTCGGAGCAGACCATCTTGGCCAGTGCCAGCTGACTGCCGAGCAGCGCGTCCAGGTAGTGCTCCTGCTCATCGCTTGACAAAGACTCACGCTCAAAGTCTGGGAGCTGAGGCCCCTTCAGACACAGCACCTGCTGCGGCAGCAGTACCACCTCTTTGTTGGACAGGAGTTTGGAGTAGAGTGCGGACACGCCCTCCCGTGTGGCCACAGACTCGCTGTCCTCGGTGATCCATGAGCCGTTCAGGTGCTCCAGCCACTTCAGCTTCACCGGAGGAATCATGAGGGCCATGGTAAGTCACTGTGGAGCCATCAGCCCTGAAAGAGACAGAGAGGGAGAGTGGGCAAAGTTTCAAAAAACTATGAGGGCCATGATAGGTAACAGTGGAGCTATCAGCCCTAAAACAGAGAGGTTTACATCCACATGACTGACCTCAGCATAAAGGCCATTGTGTATTCACAAACATGACCCCTGCTGTTCCTGCTGCAACTGTCACAAGCAATAGAATGACTCAACTCATTGTGTAAAATACAGGAGCCGTATCTCCACAGTGGGAGAATATCAGGACCACAGTGCAAAAGGAGATCAATGAGCTGCTAGTGTAAAGGCCTGTGTATACTCTGGCGTCACTGTGTGCGTTGGAAAACTGCTTTTCCTTCGATAACCTTCGAAGCACCAAAGCATTCTGCGCACCGAAGTGCCTCATCCATGTTCTACAGCAGCCGTTCCATACTTCTATCCAAACGTAATCACACACGGGCCAATTACACCAGACCTTCTCTGTGCTGCGGGCTGCGTAGTTAGAAAAGAAGGGTGCACAGGTGGTAGCGCAAGGGGTCCTTGCAGTCTTGCGGTGATCCTTGCGTTGGTCATGTGACATCAGGTGACGTCACGAGTGCCTTAACTGTAACCCTGCTAATTTTAAATTAACTGATTGACAGAAGTTTGAGTTTGTCAGAAGGTGGCAACGACCATTAGCACACTTTATGGTGCTGATATGATAAAAAACAGTTGAGATAATGTTATATTGTTACAACTGACTGCTGAAAGAGTGACGGTATTAGTTTTATTTGTGAAAGGCATTCAAGGTGAAGAGCCAATGAACAATAACTGTAACTCGACAAAACCACACATCAGTGAATTTGTGATTCATAGCCATACATTTGATGTTATTCACTATACTGTAATTTTGACAATTATTGGAATGATGAATGCTTTATTCAAGTCGTTTTGACTTTTGGGAAAGACACTGAACCCCACTTTGCCTAAAGCCCTTGCTGAAAGTTCAAGGCTGTGTAATCACAGAGCAGCAGTGCACCTATGGACTCACCACTTGCAGGAGGATCAGTGAGGGGCTGGGGCTCTGTAAATTGGGTGGCAGTTAATTGCCCCACCCATAAATGGACAAACAGGAAGAAAATTGATGGATGGATGAATGCTTTATTGGAGAGAAATAATTCTATTCATGAAATGAATGCCCTGTACAAGAAGGGCCAAAGTCGCCTCTTCCTTCTAAGGAGGCTGAGGTAATTCGGAGTGAGCAGGCCTCTGCTCAGGACTTTTTATGACTCTGTGGTAGCCTCAGCCATATACTATGCTGCCGTGTGCTGGGCCCCGGGCAGCACAGAGCGGGACAGGAGCAGACTGAACAAGCTGGTCAGGAGGGCCAGCTCTACTCTGGGCTGCTCCCTGGACTTTGTGGAGGAGGTGAGGGACAGGAGGGTGCAAACCAAAGTCACCTTCATCATGGACAACACCTCCCACCCACTGCACAGGACTGTAGAGAAGCTGAGGAGCCCCTTCAGTGGAAGACTGAGGCACCCTCAGTGTAAGAAGGAGCGCTACCGCAGGGCCTTTTCCCCACCGCTGTCAGACTTTAAGTCACTGCACTAAGACTGATAAAACCTGCACTACTATTGACACTTCTTCTCATTGCCACTTTTGTACATAATATGTCCGGTTTGCACATTTCTTACTTTTTGCACAATCTTGAGTGTTTCTATCCATGCCAAACGTGACATGTAAATTTCTCCTGTGTGAGATTAATAAAGTACATCTTATCTTATCTTACAATACTAAATGATTTTTCTTATCCCTGCAGATAATTTACAATAACATGAATAAGAACACAAAGACTGACTAGTAGTTCTTGTCCGGTGCGTTTTGCAGACTGATTTCTTTGATAGACAATATAACTGGATCTGGGGCCGTATGCCTAAAGATTCTGAGAATTCTCTCAGAGAGCTCCTAACTTAACCTAAAAACTCCTAGCTAGGAGTCTTGGCTTAAAAGTTATTCCAGAACACTCTTAGAGAACTCTGAACCAGGAATTGATAAAAACTTCTATCTCATAGCCCTTTTCCACAGTAACGGTACGGTATGCTACGGTACGCTACGGCACGGTTATTTTGCATTTCCACTGGTGTATGGTATCTGAGTTTTGCGTACTTTTTCGTACCACCTCGACTGTGGTTCCATCTCCGTAGTACCAATACCATGACCTGGCCTTACACTGATTGGTCAACGAGTCTTGTCACTGGAAGCAACGTCTGACCCTTTGGTAAAAACAACTCAACCGCCATCTTTAAAACCGGCTGCTCTGCTCGGCACTGCTTCGGCTACATTGCGTAATCCTCACTCTAGAGAAATGGAATCGCACAGAAAGCTCCAAAAGTCAGCGTCCTGGTCGGCGGACGAGGTCCACACATTACACTCTTCAGGCCGAAAGAAAGAATTCAAAGGCAGCTTCGAGGCTCATCACGGAGGTTTCACAAGGTTTCAGGGAGATTGCTCTGGATTTGTGACTAGTCTGGTAATCCTGGAAATAACTGGTTAGCTACGTATTCCGTTGGCCCAAAGCTCTCACTGAAATGTATTTACTCGTGTAAATGTTTGATTCTCTGTTGTACACATTGAGCTTTGGGGGTCTGGCTCTTGGATCCGGTGGGGGTCTGGGGCCTCTTCTCTCCTCTGGGTCCTATGGGGTCTGACTCCTGGGCCTGGTGGGGTCTGGGGCCCCTCCCTCCTCTGGGTCCTGTGTTGTTCCCTGTGGCTGCATTGGCTCATTGTATGGCGCTTCTTCAGCCGGTTACATCTGCTCCCAGCCCCATTTCTTTTTATTGTTTAACCTATTGTACCTGATGTGACTTTATACTTGTGTATACGTGTGTGTGTGTGTGTGTGTGTGTGCATGTGGTTATGAGTGAGTTCACAGTAAAGTGACAATTGAAGTATCTGGACTTTAAAAGGTTATAACTTAAAAACTAAAATTACTTTCATAGATTGGAAAAAAGATTTCAAACACAGACACATTGAAGAGATAGTGTGGAAAAAATCAAAAGGAAAGATTGACATAAAAATGTTTAGCAACATTTTAAACGACCAAATTAGCCTCTGATTGGACCATTCTACTGTGGTTTAATGAACGTCAGATCAATCTCGTCTAAATCGCTTCTCATAAACGAACTTATTATAGACAAGGGCTTGGATCTGTTTGCGCTCTCGGAGACTTGGCTCCAACAGGACGACTACGTTAGATTGAATGAGTGCACTCCTCCGACGCATGTTAACTACCAGAAAGCCAGAGCTACAGGTCGCGGCGGTGGTGTTGCGATTATATCACACACCAACTTGGTTCTTAGTCCCAAAACCAACAATGCTTTTCACTCGTTTGAAAACTTAACACTTTCAATCACCTGTCCTGGGTGGAGAAAACAAAAAGCAGTACTATTTATAGTTTTATACCGACCTCCTGGTCCTTACAGCGAGTTCCTAACAGAATTCTCTGACTTCATTACAAACCTAGTTTTGGAATGGGAAAACATAGTTATAGCTGGAGACTTCAATATACATATGGACGACAGCACTGACAGCTTAAACAAAGCTTTCAGCGCCGTACTAGATGGTGTTGGTTTTACTCAGAATGTTGAGGAACCTACTCACATTCATAACCACACCTTGGACCTTGTCCTGACCTACGGCTGTGATGTCTCCAATGTTGACATCCAGCGTCAAAGCTCGTTGCTGTCTGACCATTTCTTGATCACGTTTGATCTCGCTTTGGAGGACTTTCCTGTCCCGCAAGATAAAACCATAATGAAAAGAACCTTAAATGATAAATCTATCACAAGGTTCAAAGAACTAATACAGCCTATGTTGAATACTGCTGCAGGTGAACCTGTTCACAGCAGCTGCAGTCCCTCAGTCATTGACCAAACGGTGGGCAACACTATGGAGTCTTTAAAATCTGCATTAAATGCAGCAGCTCCTTTAAAACAGAAAACCATTAGGATTAGATCATCGTCGCCCTGGTACAGTGTTCAACTCCACACTTTAAAACAGGACGTCAGAAAATTGGAGAGGCTATATCGCCACTCCCACTCGGCGCCTGTCCACAGGGAGTGGAAAGCAGGTCTCCGAAACTACAAGAAGGCCCTTCGCGGGGCTCGAACTCAATACTATTCAACTTTAATAGAAGCGAATAAAAACAACAGTAGATTTTTGTTTAGCACCGTCGCTAAACTCACAAACTGCCATAGCGCAATCGAGCCTAAAATTCCAAGCTCACTGAGCAGTGTCGACTTTCTCCACTTCTTTAATAATAAAATTACATCCATCCGTGACAAGCTGGAGGAGGTTGCTCCTGCTGTTAGTGGTGGACAGGTTGAAGCGGCATACGTGACTTCCCACTTAGACTCTTCAGTGGGCCTTAATAAATTCATGGCTGTGAGCCAAGCAGAGGTGATCTCTGTGGTCACATCCTCAAAAGCCTCAACTTGCATGTTAGACGCAGTCCCGACATGGCTCTTCAAAGACATACTTCCTTTGATAATTGAGCCTATCGTAAATATAATAAACGCATCCATACAATGTGGCTATGTCCCACAAGCTTTTAAAACCGCGGTAATCAAACCCCTTCTGAAGAAAACAAACCTGGACCCAGAAATACTTACAAACTACAGACCGATCTCAAACCTCACTTTTATATCTAAAATCCTGGAAAAACTTATAGCTGAGCAGCTCCGCTGCCACCTGCAGGAAAATGATATGTTTGAAGTCTTTCAATCAGGATTCAGAGCTCATCATAGCACTGAAACGGCACTAGTCAACGTCACAAATGACTTACTACTAGCTGCCGATAATGGACAAGTGTCAGTGCTGGTCCTACTGGACCTTAGTGCTGCATTTGACACAATAGACCACAGCATTCTACTGCAGAGGCTAGAATGTGATATAGGTCTTAGAGGAACAGCCCTTGGCTGGTTTAAATCCTATTTATCAGATCGATATCA